TAGATGAATAATTACTTATATCTTATTAGATATTAGCTTTAGAAAATATTATTTGTAGATATTTTTAGAAGATTTTGTAAACATAATGATCATGACAAAATTATTATAGCAAAGTTAACAAAATTATCATAGCAAAACTAATAATGCTATCATAATAAAATCAAGATTATGATACTAGCTAAAGTGATATTTAGATTATAGTAAAACTAGTATAAGTATCATAATAAAAATATTATTTATATAATCTCTAAAATATATAAAAGTGATATATCTTAGCTAGTGAATTTAGATAGTTAGTTAAAAAATCAGTTAATAGTTAATTAGTTATTTAATTTAATTTAAATTCTATGAGTTTAGTCCTCAATTCATATTTAAGTAAATTTTAGTTTTAAGAGAATTCTAAGAAATCTCTCTTATAGAATAGATCTTGATTAAGATCTATTATTTTATTTATTAATAAACTGAATATTACATTTGTTTTGAAATTATATTTTGAAATTAAACTATATTTTAGTTAGTTATAATAAAAATACTATCATTACCTATCTTTAGATAAATAATAATATTTATATTCTTGTCAATAAATCTTTAAAATATTTTCTCAAATATTATTATAAACATGTAATTATTTTTATTATGTACTTTTATAATATTAGATTTAATACTCACTCTCATAATAGATTCATATTAAAAAGGTAATAGTATTTAATAATAAAAAAAATTATTATTATACTTATATTAACTTAAAGAATTATGATACTTATATAATATAATAAATTATAAAGACTATTAGTAATCTTTTTTATTTTTAGCTATTACTATCAAGAATAAAAAATAAATAATAATTGATTTAGTAAAGACTTGGATAAAAGTAAATATTCTAATTAAAAAGTTACTTCATAACTTTTTCAAAAAATATTATAATAAAAAAAATATTATCTTCTTAACAGATACTATTAGAAAATAATACTTGAAATATTTGAATAATATTATATAAAACTTTAAAATAAGTTTTATAAAAAAATAATTTTTCTTATTATTAATAAAACTTAAATAAAAAAGTGTATAGTATTATAAATATACTTTTTAGTTATCAGAATTATATTAAGCTAATTTCAATTAACTTTTATCTTAAGTTAATAATATTATAATTAATTAATTAGTTTTTTGATTATTAATTAAGTGAAAAATATCTTTTAATTAATTATATCTTATTATATTTGATTCAATAGCTTATATAAAAAAATCTATTTATAAAATATTAAAATTAATAATATTATAATTAAAATATAATTTATGTTAACTTATATCTTATATTTGATATAATAAAAATAATATTATTAATATTATTTTTTAAGTTCTAATATTAAATATAAATTATTATTTTATTTATTAGTAAAGCATAATTATTAAGTATTAATTATTTTAATGATATTTATAAATTAATTATAAATATTAAAAAATTAATAATATACTTAAAAGCATATTATTCTTATTATATTATATATTTATATTAGTATGAAGTTACTAAAAAACTATTTGAGAAATAATCAAATATTTCAAAACTAACTTTACAATTTATATCTTTATTTAATACTATCTAATAAAATTCTTAATTTAAAATAATATTTTATATATATAATTATCTTAATAATATTTGAAATTTTATCATGAAAAATAAGAATTAGAATTTTCTGAAACTATTGATAATATTATATCAATTTTTTTAAATAATAATATCAATAATTTGATAAAGTTATATTTGATTTTTATTTATCACTATGCAGTTCAATTTATATCAAATATCAAAAAGAATATGATTTATCTTTTCTTTTATTAAAGAATATATTTAATAACTTGAAAATTATCTTAATAATGGCAGAACTGCTACTGATTTTGAATGTGAAATTAATATGATTTTGATCAAGTTTAATTTAGATTTTTCTTTATTTTAATCTATTTTTCAAAATACATTTCAAGCTGTATATATAAAATTTACAAATTATTTTTCTAATCATCCTTCAAGATCTCTTTTTAAAACTACACAAATTTTTAATCCATGTTTTTTAAAATTATTATTAACTAATTATAATATTCAATAATATAGTTTTGATATTTTATAATTATCAAATTCATCTGTAGCACTTCTTCAAGAATAATCTTTATATTATAATTTAGATTTAATTTAAGTTAATTATATAAATTTGGAGTTTTTTAAGAAAAAATAGTACTTACTCTTTCACTTTTAAGTGCAATTGCTTTAGATTATATTTGGCTTTCTATTTTGTAGAATGTAATTTTTCAATTTACAATAATCTTTTATATAATAATCAGCAAAATTTGAGTACTGGATCACTTAAAATGTTAAATATAATGTATTTTAATGCGTCAACTTAATATTCTATTTAATTTTTTAACGTTAGCCAGAATTATAAGTTAAATTTTAATGCTGGACAAAAATAAATATAATTTTTATTCCAAAATATTTACGATTTTCCAAACTAATATTTATGATTTCCTGCGTCGAGCATCACATGATTAAACCACATGACTATCGAGGGCAAGATTTTTTGTCCCATACTGTATATTATCCTAATATTATCCATATTTTTTCGCTCTAAACTCTACAAATAAAGGTAGAAAAAAATGTCCCGTAGCGCAAAAACTTCGTCCGCACACCCATTTTTGCATTTACCTGGTGGTGGTAGAGTAAAACGATTAGAAAAGTCACCCTCTAAAGCTTCTGATTCGCAAATAATAATAGCTATCTCACCAACAACCCAAGATTTTAACATTGCGGAATTCTCTTCACGTATTAATCAATACGTGTCGGAGCATAGTGTCGATGCGAGTACTAGTGTAAATAGTCGTGTGTATCCGTTTTTGCAATTACCTGGTAGAATAATACCACCTTCAAATGAGTCAACAACCTTAACGAATGCCAGGTATTTTCTATCTTATTATTATATCATCAGTTTCGATGATTATTAATTTGGGTGTTTTAATGTTTAGTGATGCTTTTAAAATACTTGAAGATGAACTAAAAGAGGAGTATAAACTGCTGTCGGAATTGGAAGAATCTTTCGAAAAACAATTGAGAGATTTAGCAGAAGAGGAGGATATTCTCAAAACTATACTTGCGGATATGTGTGATGGCTCAGAAGAAACAGTAGAATCATTACTTTCGAACCTAAATCCTGAAGAATCATTGTCAGAAATAATATCCAACCTGGATCAAACCTCTGAGAATCCTCCGCCGCCGCTTGATTATCTTGATGATAATTATGATTCAGGAATCTCTGTTCATTCTCCCACAATAGAAGATACTTTACGTTTCGTAGATGATATACTGAACAAGATCCCCTCGGGTTCTGAGGATGCAAGGCGAACAAATCAGTCTGATTAAAAAGAAAACCATTTATTCTCGTTGAAATAGCTGGTTCTTGTAGTAGGTGAAGAAGGATGGTGTCTATAGGTGGTGGTGGTGGTGGTGGTGATTACGTCTTGCAAAATTTCGTGATTATCATTATTATTAGCTTGCGCTTACTCGGGTAACAAAGTAAGTTTAGTTATGATTGTCGTCTTGTAAACACTTCAATTTCAAAGATACAATAAGTAAAGCACTTTTCATCAATTAAAAATAGAATTTTCTGATCATTTTAATTGAATGAACTCACTTCTCAATTTTTTATCCTTGTATCTTTACTGAATTTTTGCATTCTCTTTTATTTCGTACAGGTCATTAATCAGTATACGGAGTTAATGAGGGAATAAAAAAAAATCAACACAGTTATAATGGATATATGTAAATAAATAATATAAATTTTAGATATTAATTCTTCTAATATACAATACATATTAAGGGTAAATGCTTTATTCTTATAATAAATATAGTCTGTTCCCCCTCCTTTTTTTTAAAAAAAAATTAAAAGAATTCAAAAAAATCACTATTGCTAATTAATGACAAAAACCAAGGAATAAATGCTTAATAATAATAACAATAATAATAATAATAATAAAATTATTATTACTATAATTATAACCTGATATATTATTATCGAAATAAGTGACCATTGTTCATTTAAGGAATATCCACAACTTGTAATCTTTATGCTCGAATCACACTTATGAACATCAAGGTTTTTTGTTGGATTGGTTGATTGATTCGAACGGTTTTTTGCTCGCGAGACAACTTTTTTGCGCCTGCATGCGAACCATTATAAGGTTATGAATCATTAGACGCCTCCTTTCAAAACACATATATAGTTCGACGGCGCATTATTTATCTTCTTGCGCATTGGATTATAACCATCATAGATAGATAAATAATAAGATAAATAGGTAGAGATGTAATAAAAGAACGCCGAGGAGCCAAAGTTTCATCAATGGCCATTTATAGTATCACTGCTTGTCCCTCCATTTGGTTCGTACACGTACTCGTCATCGATATCGACATCAGACGATAGTAACGCTTGCTCTAATTCACTTTTGAAGCTCTAGATGATGGATAATACATAAATTTTTTTTTAACATTGCAATTAATCGATCATTACACGAAGATGACAGAAATTTTTTCACCTTAACTGAATTGGTTTTCGCCTTCATTTGTTGTTCTTGTGCCATTACTTCTTCTAAGTACTCGGTTAATAATAATTGTGGGTTACCTCCCTCTTCAAGGCATCTGATGGGATTACATGTAATTTCAAAGATTTAATAAGAGATAGATAGATAGATAGATCGATCGTTGTAGTGGTAGTAGTGGTAGTAGTGGTAGTAGTAGTGGTAGTAGTAGTAGTAGTAGTAATAGTAGTAATAATAATAATAGTAGCAGTAATAAATAGTAATAGTAGTTCCACATACACGTACGAATTGTTAATATAAAAATAATAATGATAATGATGCTAATAATATATAGATAGGTAAAGAAGTGGAAGAAATACGGTACTCGAGTGCTTCAATTGGCACCTGGATATTTATCAATTCATTGGTGTTTTCCAAGTCATTTAATTCATTCACGTAATGCGTGCTATTGTTATGATTATTTTATAAATGAGAAAGTAAGCTCAATGAAAAAAATGTTACTCGCATCTGACGAACCGACCAGCACGCAGAAAAAAACCATACATACAAAAGGTCACTCAAAACATTGCTATTCGCCTGAGAATCATAGACAGCCACAGCGGCTTGCCACAGTAAAGCGATCATATTTTGCAATTTAAATTCTAGGTTAGAACGAGCATCTTGTTCTGGTGTCTCAGACGCGTAACTACTAGCAATGCCACTGTGACGGTTATGGTTGGTAGAGCCGTTAACTTGAGGTTGAATCTGTTGTTGGTGTGCTTGTTGAAGTATTTGCTGCTGTTGTTGTTGAACCGTTTGAGTTTGTGTTGGTACGTTTGGTGACTCGTGATCGAAAGATGTGGCCATCATCATGGGTCCCATTAGAGTAAAACACGTTAAAAATGAATTTTTTATTTTATATGGAAAAGGATATATGGTCTCTATTTGTTGTGTTATTTCTATTCTTGATTATTTTTTAGGTCAGAAATGTGCAACTTTATCACTTATAATTGTTTGATTGATTTTGTGTGACACAAGCGGTTAAATTTTTTTTTTTCACATTTTTTATCGAGACCTTTGAAGTTCGAGTGTTCGCTTTGGTTAAATACAATTCTTAAATTTCTTGCTGCAAAAAAGAAAAAACAAAATGCAAAACGATCAAGGCGTTATGGTAGATCTCTACGTACCGAGAAAATGGTACTTGAATAATAACACTAATAATTTGAGCTCTATTATTTGAAAAATATTTTGTTTTAAAATTGCTACTTTATTTTTTTTTAAATAAAAAAAGCTCGGCTACCAACCGTCTCATCACTTCAAAAGATCATGCATCAGTTCAAATTAATGTTGGAAATGTCGACGCGCAAGGGCGATACACTGGAACTTTTTCCACTTATGCGTTATGTGGTTTCATTCGTGGGCAAGGTGAATCAGATGACTCCTTAAATCGTTTAGCGACGAGTGATGGATGTAAGTTTCTTCTTTTTTTTTTTTAATGATCTTCTTGCGTCGAAATATATACTAACTATAAGTAATCTCTGAAAATTAATGTTACAGTATTGAAAAAGTGAGTTCTTTATTTGATAAAAATCTATCGCTATATATGTTTCATCGATGTTTAATATTAACGACACCCTTTTTCTTCTTCTAGTGTGTGGTCTTATCAGCGTTAAATTAATTGTTGGTGGAGAGTTACCGGATGAATTTTTTAGTCCTTTCATAATTTTATATGGTGATGCTGGTCGTTAGTTAGATTTTTGATCGAATATATTCAATAAAAATAATCCTCTTCTATTTATAGATATATTATTTCCGTTTTTGAATAAGGATATCGTTTGTATATTATGTTCTAAGATTATAATCAATAATATAATTCTCTTCGATTTCTTATAATAATAAGTTCGAGACGTTATTGTAATACTATTTTAGCGAAAGATTCTATAAAAAAGCCGGAAGAGTAATTATTTTTACAGGTTATCACACATAGATTAAAAAAGGTTGCTAATTTTATGGTAGTTTTTTTTTTTCCTCCAAAGTTGCTAATCATCTTGCAAATGTTTTTAATAATAAATCAAATCAACGTCTCGAACTTTTATCTTTTTTATCGTGTTCATCCGAGATGCGTGGTTGATAATACCACTGTATATAACTCGTCCATGCTGAATTATAACATAATCGAATAATTAGACAATCTTCTTTTAAATAAGATATTCACATAAAATAGATAGCTCACCCCACATTGAGAGTCTTCGACCCAACCATCTCGCCAACGTCGGTAAAGCTATCGCGAAGAAAGCCACTTGTAAATCATGCATTAGAGTTTGGATTTGTCGATCAAACTCATCAATATCTTCAGTTTGATCATCCATCTCGTCGTCATTTGGCGAATGTAATGGCTCTAGATCCTCGACATCGTCTAATGCGCGCCCAACCTGTGATATTATGTTTTCGCCTCGTAAGGACATTCCTCTTGTAACGATGGAAGGTGGTGGTCGCGAAGATTGCTGTGTTGTTGGTTGTACGTTAATAGTGTTCCTTGATAACGTGTCTAGATATGATTCGTCAATGTAACCATTATTATCTACAGGAAATGAACGCGGAGGAGTTTGCATTGTCTGCAAAATTGGGAATGGTTTGGTAAGATCGGTAATATTTGACTTCGATTGTCACGTGGTTAAATTTATAAACCGTCATTATGTGACGCGTTTCTCGACTGATCACACCATGTTATACAATGCGTAATTTCACCCCTCATTCATGATGTTAAAACGGGGATCAATATTATTTGATCATTTACTCGTAGATTATAGAAAGAATTCGTTTTCATGATATTTCGTGCTTTTTTGATTTATGTAAAGTTTTTTTGTGATTCCCCAAATTCCCAAAATTTCCTCCACAGGAGTTGTGCAATGTATAACTGCTCCTTTCAAATCTGCACAATAGTAATTTGTCGATTTGAACAACAATCAAAGTTTTTTTGTTAAAATCAATTATTTATACTGGAAAAATGCAGATCGATAATCCCAGATTTTTTAAATTAATCGACTATTAGTGTTATTCCTGTGACGAGAATGGTAATCACATCATTTGAATCATTTTTTTTTTACCCCAACACCCCATTTTTATGGATCTTTGTGCACCTCTGCTTTACATTTATCCACTGTTTCTCTATTCTCGGCTATAAACTAAATTACGCCTACCAGCTAAAAATAATTCTTATTCAAACAACGAACTCGGCCCAATGATAAATATTAGCAGTTAGTGGCAACATACATAACCCCGACTCTTCTTTCACTTTAAATAATCTTTTCGCTTTATAAGAAAAACGAATTTCATTAATATCGATCATTGCTATTCTTTTTTCCGTTATCGAGCGTGACGCGCGACGCGTATTACTTAACCATATAAACGTTTCACAGTTATTCTCGAAAAATGTCCAAAAAACACTTTTCCATGAGAGATCGTTCCCATTTAAGAAAGCCAGCGGAGGTATTGCCAAATGAATTCACCACAGAATACATCAACGAAGATCATATCGAGTCATTTGCGAGCGCGCTTGCTGAAGATCCGAATCACGACTCGACCGAACACATTTCAGCAGTGACTGACTTCATGCCAATAAAACAGAAGGTTAAAAAACGCGAAGATGTACCGAGAGGCGTTGATGGAATTGCTTATCATGTCTTGCGTTTCCCTTTGATGGTAATTAATCCGTGCTTCCATTGATTTATATCAGATAAAATTCGGGATACTTATTGCTATATTAACTTTTATAGTTGATAATCTTTATGGTGATTGGAGTTGAAATGCTCTTATATATCCTTGTAAGACAATTCGTCAATATCTGGGAATATTTTGTTCAATGGTAATTCAGATAATTTATATCGTGTATCTTTGAGTTTCAATTCTTACAGATCTAATATTTAATTGCCATTTTTCTAAAGGCGCGGAGAAAAATTTAGACTTCGCGAAAAGCTTCGTGGTGCCACAACCTACAGAGAATGGATCGATGCTGCTAAGAAACTAGACAGGCATCTTAAATTCGATGAATGGAAAAATGAGGAACCATTTGGGTTTTACGATTTCAATTTATTACGTAAAGTCAATCGAGATCTTGAAGCATTTCGTGAGGGTCAAAAACAAAGTCCACAACTTCTAAAGAGTACTTTACAGAATTGTGTGAAAAGCAATTTCGGCGGTGTTGAGAATGTTCGATTGTATTCTTACACTTATTATGGAACTAAAAAAATAGTGGAACGATATATTGATGAAGGTTGGTGGTTGGCTCGATCAAATTATTTCATTCGATATTGATCATTTTCTTTAAATTAATATTTTATAATTTTTTATCTTGGCAGTGACGGAATCACTAGATTTCGTGCGCAAAAGTAAAGCATTGCCGTTAGATGAAAAGCGACATCTTTTTAAGAACGCATACAAGAATTACGGCCGAACTGCGCTCTGTCTTAGTGGCGGTATGATTATACCGAATATTTCTTTTTAATGATATTTGGTTTATGAATAGTAAACTTAACAATAGAAAATATTTTAATAGGCGCCGGCTTTGGATATTATCATCTTGGTGTGGTGAAGGCACTTTTTGACGCCGATCTTTTGCCATCGGTCATCACCGGGACCAGTGCAGGCGGATTGATTGCTGCTTTAGTTTGTGTAAGGACTGACGAAGAGTTAGCTCAAATTTTGAATCCCGATTTATGTTGTCGTATGACGGCATGTTCGGATTCAATACCTGTTTGGTTTAAAAGATTCTTGGAGACTGGTGCGCGATTCGATGCTCGTGATTGGGCAAGGAAGGTGCAATGGTTCACGAGAGGTGGTCTAACCTTTAGGGAAGCCTACGAACGCACCGGAAGAATCTTGAACATTTCTGTTATTCCATATGACCCACACTCTCCACCAAAATTACTGAATTATGTTACTGCTCCTGATTGCGTTATATGGAGTGCTGGTAAGTTTGTGCCTATTTTTTCCGATTACCTTATTGCATTCAAAATATTTACGAAATTCTTTTATTACGCGTAGTTATTGCATCGGCTGCAGTACCAGGAATTTTGAATCCGGTAAGATTATATTTACATATTTCTATACGCTATTTCTTTGATGATTGGTTTTTAATCATTGAATGCGCTTATTACTTTGATTTTTAGGTTGTCTTAATGCAGAAAACAAAGAATGACATTTTGATTCCATATAATTATGGTCATAAATGGAAGGATGGATCTTTACGAACCGATATTCCTGTCCAGGCTTTACACACTCATTTCAATGTCAAATTTACAATTGTGTCGCAAGGTAAAAATCATTGTAGTTTCTTGATGGTTTATAAACTTTCATTGATTATTGGAACTAACTTATTTGTTTATACAGTAAATCCCCACATTCATCTATTCTTCTATAGCCCACGTGGAACAGTCGGTAAGAGAGAATTTTAGGAATGCTAACGGAAATTTTCATTTACATTTCGCAAAATTAATTATAAAATAAATTCCGTATGAAGGTCGACCTGTTAGTCATCGCCATGGTCGAGGTTGGCGTGGTGGATTTGTCGCATCCAGCATAGAGAAATACTTGAAATTAGATCTGAGCAAGTGGCTAAAGGTGATACGAGATTTAGAGCTTTTGCCTAAACTAGCAGATCAAGACTGGAGTTCAATATGGCTTCAAAAATTTGACGGGAATGTCACAATCTGGCCCAAATCTACCATATCAGACTGGTTTTACATATTAACAGATCCGGACGCAGAACGACTAGAGAGAATGATCACTACGGGTTTACGCGTGACCTGGCCCAAATTACACATGATATCAAATCGGCTACGGATAGAACGTGCTATCCTGAAAGGCAGGGAACAAATTAAACGCGAGTCACATAAACGTCTTAAACGCACCGAAATCGAAAATGATGTTTACTTAAATACAGATAGTGGCGCCAGCAGTACAGCTGTTAGCTCAAGTGGGCATGACGAAGAGGAAGAATCAACGATAGCAAATAATAACAATTATAATTTTGAATATGACACATCAAAGATAGATTCATTTTCAAGAGGGCTCTCGGATCCCTCAATATCTTCTTCAGAAGAGACGGAATCGCTGCAGGCAGCATCGGACTATTTAACTTAAACATTTGTATAAATTAGAACAATTGCTTATTTATCTTGTTTTACACGTAATTTGTATGAATTATTAATAAAAAAAAATTAATTAAATTTAATTGGCGGTTTGTGTGAATAGATTTTTCCTTGATTAGAAAGTTAGCATTCAGATCTCTATATACATCTCAAAAGACCTGTAACGTAATTCTCCTTTGACATGTTGCCACGTTTCTGAAAACCAAAATGGAAAAGAATCGTCGAAAAAGTAAATTTTTTGAGTTTAAAAATTTCAAAATTCCGCGTAAATAAATAGATAAACATAGTCTCGAAATTGGACCAAAAATGAAACTATCGAGTGGGATTTTCAGCGGTCGACTATTCTTATTGTTACCACTATTGACGAGCTGGCTTTCGCTATATGTGCTAGCCGATGTCTATTTACAAGAAAAGTTTTCCGATGATACTTGGGAAAAGGTGTTAAAACGAATACATATTCAATGCATGATTATAAAAGCCTCGACTAATGACAGGTTTCCCTTAAATTTTGCAGCGGTGGCTTCAGTCAAAGCATAAAGATGACCTCGGTGCATTCAAAGTCTCTCCTGGCAAGTTTTATGCTGATGAGATAGAGTCGCGTGGGTTACAGACGTCACAACATGCACGGTTCTATGCGATTTCGGCAAAGTTAGATACACCAATAGATAATACCGAGAAAAACCTAGGTACTTAACGCTTGTATTTGATGATGTAAATAATATGAATTCTATCTAATTCATGGATTTTTTTTAAAGTGGTTCAATTCTCGGTTAAACATGAGCAAAATATTGACTGTGGAGGGGGATATGTCAAGGTGTGGTTATTACCTATATATTATTTGTAGTTTATGATAATTCGAGCGTTTTGTTTGATTGATTTTTTTGAAACATTTAAGCTTCTTCCGCCCACATTTGATCAAGCTGATTTCCGTGGTGATTCAGAATATAATATTATGTTTGGGGTAAGTCAATATTAGGGGAATATAAATTCCTTCCTTACACTTAACGGGTCGTGAAGATTTATCCATTTATATAATACAAAGATTTTTAACCGTTGAACTAATCACTTCACATACGTTTTTGTTCTTTCGAAGCCTGACATTTGCGGCGATTCGCGTAAAGTCCATTTTATCATACACCATGACGGCGAAAACAAATTAATAAAGAAAAAAATTACCGCGCCCTCTGATCAATTGACGCATTTATATACGTTAATCATCAAACCAGACCAGGTAATTCACATCACGAACCTTAATTTTTTTGCCTGCCCATTCACACTACAACTTTCCCCTTAAAAATATATGTAGACATACACCGTGTTAATTGATTCCAAAGAGGAACAATCCGGCAAATTGGAAGAAGATTTCGAATTTACGCCTAAACTAATTGATGGTTACTATTACTAATTAACTATAAATATTGTTTTGGAAATTGAAGTACATTGAAGATCAATATTATTTAATTTTTTATTCTATATATACATATATAGATCCTGAGGCCAAAAAACCCGATGATTGGGTAGATACCGCAACAATCGAAGATTCAACTGATAAAAAGCCCGATGATTGGGTAGATGGACCAGAATTAATAGATGACCCTGATGCTACAAAACCCGAAGACTGGGATGGTAAATCATGATTCGGCTTGTGTCTTTGATTTTCACAATACTAATAGCAAGCATTCGCTAATTCTCGTAATGTTTTGTCTGATTTTTGCATATAAAGATGAAATGAATGGAGATTGGGAACCACCACAAATAGCAAATCCCGAATACAAGGGCGTCTGGAAGCCACGTCATATACCAAATCCAGATTACAAAGGTGAATGGAAAGCTCCCTTAATCCCAAACCCCGACTATAAAGAAGACCCGTTACTTCACGCATTCAACACTGCGTATATTGGCTTCGATCTATGGCAAGTCAAATCCGGCACCATTTTCGATAATATCCTAATTACAGATGACACAGAGTACGCGGAGAAATTCGCGAATGAAACATTCGTGGAGTATCGTGAAGCCGAACGCGACGCCAAGAAAAAACTTGATGAAATTGAGTCAAAGAAATTTGAAACAGATGTCGGAGGGAAAAAAGAGGAAAATGAAGATGAAAAGGAGGAAGAAGAGGAAAAAGATAAAGGAAAGAAAGAAGATAAATCATCAAAAGTTGAGGTACCTCTTCCTGACGAAAAAGTACCCGAAAAATCAGATGAACCCCCTGCCTCATCTAAACAAGAAGACGATGATGAATTTGACAAGTTATTTGCTGATTTTGAACACGAAGAATTATAAGCGTCTCGTCAGTATTTCTATTCATTTTGTTTCTGATTTGCGTAAATACGCTTTCTTCTTTATTTATTAGTTAAGCTTTTTTTATCGCTGGTATTGAACATATATAGTTTAATTTCGAATCTGATTTAACATATTTAAATGTCACCTTGCAAAGTTAAACTTAAAAGAACACGGTAATTATTTAAACGTTCTTTCAAACATTAAGCAAATCAAAATTTGAATGAATATAGTTAAACTCGTGCAATCAAAATCGTAAAAATTTTGCTGAATTATAGAACAAATATAGACAAAATGAACATTATGTCGCAATAAAATTACAGTGAACATGATATTAACGAATGATACTTGGATGTTTGAAGATTTATTTAATGAACGAATATTAATACAAAAATAATTTAAAAGAAAGCAAATTTAAAAGAGAAATAATTTATTGCCTAACTTGGGTTAATTATATAGATGAGCACATATATACATTATCTTTAATGATGGGTTAAATTTCATTTATTTCAATTTTCTTTTGTTTCTTTTTTTTGAGTTCAGAATCGATGAATGATTTAATAAACTCTCATTCATTAAGTTTTATAATCGGGCATTCATCGAGTACCGGTCAACAAAATTAAATATCGATATGTAGTTTGATAAATTCCAAATATTATTGTTCTAGTTTTTTATAATTATCGATTTCGGTTTTTCTCATAGAATCTAATTCCGTATTAAATAAAAATACCGCATCTTCCATCGATATCCCCTATGAGAAAGATGAATCACACAAAGTATTAATACAGCCATTTGTGAGAGGCCCAAATCAATTGTACCAGAGAAAACTGATGTCATCTAGTTTCATAAAAAAAGCAAAGGTTCGAAATACGTGTTGTATTTAAAATTTGATCCTGAAATTTTTAGCAAATTAATTTTATATCACAAAATTTCTTAAAGAAAATAACTTGATAGAATTTGCATAAAAATAATCATAATTCAGCGATGGCGCAGTATTTAATATCTTGCATTATACAAAAAAATTAGAATGCTAAAAATCATAACTTTTGTTAAATTTTTTATTTAGGAATGACAGATACTTACCGAATATTTAGTCAAACCGGACCCTTTCCCCGATAATTCCGGGAAGTTATCGTTATACACATATTATTGAATAAAAAATCATTGCTCACTTACGAATATATATTATAATAATATATAATTAATGAAATTCATAAAATAGAATTTCTTCAAAATCACAACGGGATTTTTCCGTATCTCTGGTATAAATATATATACACCTAAGACTATCTTCAGATATCAAAAAAGATATATAAAAATATAATATTAATATTTTGATAAATTTAGTAGTAAATGAAAAGAATTATATTATATACATGAAATTTTTGATAAAGTCTATTAATCATAATAAAAATAAAAAGTATTCAAAAATTTTTATAATAATAATTATTTAAAATTATATATAGATTAACTATTATTAAAACTGATAATTATTATTTTACAGAATAAAATTCTTAGTTATTATTTGAACTATAGCTATTATATAAATAATATTAATAAATTATTATTACTTATCTTCTTATTTATTTTGAATATTTTTCTTTTTATATTCCTTTTTTTTCTTTTTATTTTTATTAAATAATAATAATTATTTAATTTTATATATATTAATAATTTTATAAAGAAATTATATAATTTTGCTATCAAATTTATTATTTTATTCTTAAATTTTGATTAGTTTCTTTAATTTTAATTTTTATTAATTTGTTATATATTAATAAATTATATTTATTTTTATTTTTACTAATTTAATTATAATTAGCTTTATAATTTAATAAAGAAATTATTAAATATATTATTTTATTTTTTAAACTTTGATTAATTTTTTATTTTTGATTCATATTTTTATTTAAATAATTTATTATACAATAACTTTCATAATTATGACATAAGAAAATTAATTTTATTAATAAAAATTAAATTTTTCTTATCATATTAAACTTTATAATTTTATTAAAAAATAATTTTTATTCTTATATTAAAATTTCAGATTTTTATTTTAATTATAAAATCAATGCAAAAAATTTTTGCTAATTAAATTTGTTTTTAATTAATAAAAATTTTTGTATTAACTTTACAAATAACTCTTTCAGAAAAAATTTAAAAAATATTATTTTCATTTTTATTAATTTAAATATAATTTTATTTAAATATATATTAAAAATAAGATATTAAATAAATAATACTTGATATTAATATATAAAATAATTATAATAAACTAAAATAAAAAAATAAAAAATATAATATATAATAAAAAAAATAAGTTATTATAATTTAACTTAATTTAATAAAAATATAATTATTTAAAACTTTTTTTATTATTATAATTTTTTAATTTTATATATAATATATTTATTTATTTATTTTATTTAAAAAAAATTTTATAATTTAAGTTTTCTTTAATTTTTATTAAATTTTTTTTAAATATGAATATTATATTAATTTATATTATTATTATTAAATTTAAAAAGTTTTATTATTTAATAAATTATAAAAATTATATTATTATTTAATTTATTTTAAAATTAAATATTATTTTAGCTTATTATATATTAAATATAATTATAATAATAATTAAAAATATCTTATTAATCTATAACTTTTTAAATTAAAATTAATTATTTTTAATATACAGTAACCATCAAAAGTAATGTAATGCTTAAATTTTTTACTAATTATAATTAGTAAAATACATGATTTTTCTTATATATAAAAGTTTTTAATTTTACTAACAAATATTTTTTATTTTTATCTCAAAAAATAGCTAAAATTCTCTAGTTTAACATATATTTTTTTCAGATTTTTCAGATTTTTACTAGTAACTTCTTCTAATTACATATGAAATCAATTAATTTTTACTAATTAAAAATTAATTAACTTTATATGCAATTAGAAGAAGTTACTGATAAAAAATCTGAAAAATCTGAAAAAAATATATGTTAAACTAGAGAATTTTAGCTATTTTTTGAGGTAAAAATAAAAAAATATTTGTTAGTAAAATTAAAAACTTTTATATGTAAGAAAAATCATATATTTTATTAATTATAATTAGTAAAAAATTTAAGCGTTGCATTACTTTTGATAGTTACTATAGATAAATTTAGATTTTATATATAGTCAAATCTTTTTATAATCATCATACTTGAGAAAGTAAAATTAAATAACTAAAGAAAGATATAACTATAAAAAGATTTTTTTAATTATAATTAATTAATAACTGAGAAACTTAAAAAAGATATGAATATAGAGAGATCTGATTATATTATTTATATTTTTCATTACTATGAAAATTTAAATAAGAGCTGAAACTTAAAATTAATATATTAAAATTTAAGTATTTTATAATTATAACAAAAAATTCAATATAATTTAATAAGATAATTATTAAAAAATTAGATTTAAATTTTATTTTATATATATAAAAAATATTAATATCAAAATTTATTTTGATAACTTACTTATTAAATTTTTTGATTTTAATATAGCATTTTTAATTATTTCAAAAAGTTTAATTAAATCAAATATAAAAGTTAATACTTTTAACTTTTATTATATTATCTTTTTTTTAAATAAAATCCTATAAGTTATAAATTATTAAACTTAAAAATTCAGTTTTTAAAAAAATAATTATTATTATAAACTCTTTTATTTTAGTAAAATAATTATAATTTATAAAATATATGAAAAATATATGAATTATTAAAAAAACTCAAGTATAAGTCTCAATTATATCAAAATAAGAAAATTATCAAAAATATTCTAGCTAATCTAAGAAAAAAAATCATATATAAGAACATTTTTATAATAAAACAACTAGATTAGTATATTTCCGGAATTTAAAAAAAATTGATTAATTTTTATTTTTAAAATAAAAAAATTCAGTTTTTATCTGAAATATTATTTTTTCTGATAAAGTCCACATCATTTTATTATTTTGGTCAAATTGATCTAAAGATCTGCAAAATAAATACGTATTTTTCACTTATAACAGGGAGAAACAATGCAAAGACCACCATCCTCCCAACAACAGCAACAAGGACGATTTACCACCGATGCCCCAATAACTTCTTCCCCTTTAGCCAAAGGTACCTCTTCAACCGCTCTAAACACAAATTCAACCACGACGACCGTTGCGTCCCAGCAAGTTTATTTTGCAAGTGTTGAGGAAGAACAGAATAGAAGACTAGACATAGAAATTGAACAATTGCTGAACTCGTTTAGGGATGTAGTGAAATTGGCGGGGTTTCACGAAACTGTGAGGTTGCCCGGGATGGAATCTGATAAAGTATTTTCTAGTTGTTAATAATGGGTGAGCGAATTCGATTGTAAAATGTTATTGCTAATACTTGTTATTTCGATTTTGCATAATGAATAGGTAGTTGAAAAAGACAAGTTTAGAACAGCACTTGATGGCTGTGTTGCAGAACTACGCGCTGCTACTATTGTACTGTCCAATATCTGTTCTCTATTCAATATACTACTTGGCTACCAGTTATTTATTTTTTAATTCATCCCAACCATGAATTAATTCCAATTGATCACGCATAGGTAAAAAGCTGTGAAAATCTATTCACTCTTACACACGACCTCAAAACTACATTACTTCTAAACGACACGGACACATTACTACGATTCAATAAACATCGTGCTGATGCTTTGAACGCGCGCAAAGACAAGATTAAACGAAGAATTGTGGAATTGAATAATGATTTGTCGTTAGCTATTTGGGAAATGGAGAGCGCATTGGGTGGTGTAGGAGGAGGAGGGAAAAGAGATCACGATCATTTTGATCACCATCACAATAAAAACAATAATGGTGGTGATGACTATTTGGGAATTGATCCCATGAATATATAATGAAATATGTTACAATTAATTAATAAAGACGATGATGATTCATCGTATTTTGAGAGGAAATTAATGATTCAAATCATGCTGATCTGCGATTCATTCACGTGATTCATCACTATTTGACAAAAAAAATTTGTTTTCCACCCCTACTCAATCTCACATATCAAAAATGTATATGCAACAACCTCAAAAATTGACGGAAGAAGAAAAAGCACACCAAAGAAATACAGTTAGGAAGAATATTAATAAATTTTTAATAAGTGTGGTGCTTATTCGTATTGGTAATACTTCAATTGAAAGTTAGTTGTTGATTGCGGGTCTTTTTCCATCTTTTTAATCTTAATACTATCAATATCAATTAGCTCCACTTTTATTTGATTACGCATCAAGATTTTCTAGTCATGCACAATGAATAATAATCCACCATGGAAACGCTAAAAGAAGAAAAAAACATTTTAATTAAATAATTGTATGGAATAAATAAATATGGGCTGTTATTATTGCATGTAGAATTTCTTTTGAATCACAGCTGATAATCTTCATTTACTGAATAAATAGAATCCATAACAAATCTGGAGATGAGATTCAATTGACTTTTGCTTGATCCGTGTTTAAAAAGCTTTTTATAAAAGAAAAAAATCATTATTATTTCTTTTCTCATTATTATCATTATTTTCATTAATGCGACAGTTATTATCATTATTTTCATTAATGCGACAGTTATTATCATTATCTTCATTAATGCGAAAGTTATTTATCATTATTATTTATTTATTGATGCAATTATTATTACTATTATTATTGTTTTATAATTATTATTATTGAATAAATGCTGGCTAGATTAATCGAACATTCGCTGGTGAATTTCACTTGTTGACTTGTTTAATGTCGACATCAAAAAAACATTACACAACACAATGATCTCTCTCTCGTTTACCCTACCGATATGGAAAATCAGATAATCGGATTACGCCAATTTAATTAAGTTGCATTATATGCATGTGATGTCATTATATATCAAACCAACTAACGAAAAAAGGGTATCACCTGTCATGATTATGACCATTACAATCCTATAATTTTTCCACGGATCTACCGGAATGAATCGAAATCGTAACTGGCAAGAGTTGTTAATTGCGTTACAAAAAAAGCACATAATATCTAACGCACAATATAACTGGTTGCACATCCCGTTCTCTACTTTAATATATGGATGGTGTGTGAATGATTTTAAGTGTAAAAATTACTAAACAATTACGTTGCAGCACTGTTATGTATTTTGTTACATAATGTCTCGATCAATCAAATCAATCGGGATTTTTAATCGATTAGAAAAAAAAGTGGCTATTGTGATGTACCATTTTATATATACTCTCTGCGAAGCATTTTAATGTTTCCCCTTCACACTTGCCTCCCCTACCAGCCTTCCCTCCCTTTGTTCCTTATTCCTATTCTCAAAAATACATTCTTTCGCGTGTGGGAAAACTTTTTCTTTGCGTGTTATTCTCAAATAACTCATCACACTGTTCAAATAAGTATAATCATAACCAAAATAAATTCTGCTTTCTTTTCTATTAATTATTAGAAATCCCATCCATCCATCACATTTGCCTAACCACACACATAGAAGCACACCTTTTACACGTCAATCCTTATAATAATATATGTGTGTGTTTGTATTATTGATATAATAAAGCAGCCAGCCATGTATTGATTAAAAACGCCCAACCTCTTTTTCTATCGCCTCCCTTTTTGTTTCTATTCAAAACGCCATATATATATATATTTAATATTAACTAAATAGAATTTTTTTCATTTGTACATATTAATCATTTTCTCTTTATCTATATTTCTCTTTCTTTCGCTCTTTCTTTTATTTCTCTTCACATCAAATATTCTTCTCGCGTTAGCCCAACCAAGAGATTCTATATATGCTTCGAATCTCCCTTCCCGCATCGTATCCTACTAGCGATAGGACATCATCCTTCTATCAACGCGGTGGTGTTGAGGCAGAAGAAATGTCGACGCCTATCAACGAATTCAAGGAAATCCTCAATACCGAAGTATACGTTGATCTGGATCGACTTCGTGAATCGGCCAGACATGGGATTCCGATGGAAGTTCGTGGGGTAAGTTATATATAAAAACGCGAGATCGATCGGATTGAATTTGCGTAGGAAATCAGTTGGGTGAATCATTATATTATTATTTATGCGTTTTTTTCGAATTTATAAAAAATTTTGTTCTTGGAACTGATGGCTATTAGATCGCCCCCATTTTCTATTCATTATCCATCCATACATCAATCATTATCATCATTATCAATATTATTATCATCTCATCGTCACTTTTATTGTTAGATTATATTTATTGTTCCATCTATTTTAATTTAAAATTACCGGTCAAAAAAAATATAATTGATAAAACAGACGTTATCAATATTAAATTCACAAATTTATGATACACAAACGTAATTTGATCTTTTTAATCCTTTAAATCTTCTTTTCCAATACAAACCTTTTTATAATTTTTTACAAAAATAAAAAAGGAGGGATGGAAGTATTTGCTAGGAGTATGTCCGGCTGATAAATGTAAGTTCAATATATAATAATTAACCGTACGTTACTAATCTAACTAAAAGTCACCATTAATAATCTGAAATTTAAAATTAATAAAAAATACAGCGCAAGAATTGACTAGCCTCAAGGCAAAGTTCGATGAATATCTAACCATCGAGAAAGAAAATATGGAGATTATCAAGCGTGTACGCGGGGAAGTTAGCCGGTATCAGCAAAAAATTAAAAATTTCGATGATATGAATGATTATACAAGCATATTTGAAAATGTTATCAGCGCGTATATGAATCATAATCGTCATGTTGAGTATTACCCTGCTCTCGTACATCTATGTGCACCCTTTGTGTACTGCGTGAAAAATGAGCCCGAGGTTTATTATTGTTTCGAGCGTCTAATGACAATATTAGGTGATATATTTGAATCAATTTTTCTTTTTTTTGTTTTGTTTTTATTTCTTGGAAATAATATTTACATGTCAAACAGATGAATACTACTCAACTTATAATATCAATGAGAGAGTTGCGAATTTCATGACATTATTCCGAGCAGTTCTTCCCGATCTGTAAGTTAATCAGTTTAGCGATCGATGTTATTCTTGTTATTATTATTCCCTCAATAATAGATTAATTTTCTATTTGAATAATGGTATTCTGTTGTGTCATTATAGATACAATTATTTTGAAGAAGAGGAAGTTTATTTGAACGAGTGGGCAACATCCTGGTTACAATACTTGCTGTCCAGAGAGCTTCAACTACCTGATTTAATGCGTCTTTGGGGTATTTTGGCATAATAACTGAAAATTACTCTCTTTGTTTTTCACAACTTAATTTAACGAATTTAATATATTAGACACGTATTTCTCAATCCCGGACCCAATTGAATTTCACCCTTACGTGTGTTTAGGTGAATGCTGTTTTTTTTATCAATTTCAAGCAGAATAATTAGACTAATCGAAAGTTCTTTTTATAATTAATAAAAGCCGTGCTAAAGCATTTCAAGGATAATCTTGAGGAATTGGAACAATCCGAAATTCGCACATTATTGTTACGATTGCCTTCAATGGATATGGAACAGGTACTACGGTCAACTTTGTCTTATTACAATTTTGCTTTGAATAATAAAGATCGGCATTACATATTTTCATTAACCTTAAATAATTTATTGTTTGTCTTATAGATTATAAATCAGGCTTTCAATATCAGACATGAATTCTTAGAAAGAGAAATATCAGATTCGCTTTAAAGAAACTTCGCTGACTTTTCCCCAAAAAATTCATATATGCATGCCAACGTTTAGCAGTGACATACATTAATAAAAATAATATTTTTTTCGAATTTTTTATTCTTTTCTTTACCGTTATAATTGTCATAGTAAAAATGCAATAATAATATTAATTTTAATTTACGATTATAGAAGTTAATTATTAGTTCTCGATAAATGACCAAACTTATAGAAAATAGATCCGTTCGTTCAAGTAAATTGCTTATTATACAGATTAAAATAATATTTCGATTAATCGATTTTCATGATATCAATAATTCTTGTCACATTCTTTCATCTTATATAAAGTTTTAACTTTACTATTCAGTATTTTGTTTTTAGCTCAAAATGAAGCTAGAGTTTTCAGAGTTGTTCTAAGTGCATATAAAGTTAATTATTAATAAAAAATTCAAGTATTATATATTTTTCTATATATTATCATCAAGTTGGTCTTGCTGTATATAGTGATGTTAGCAAGTTGATGCAGTGCCTGTATTCTTGAAAAATTTAAGATCAAGAAACAAGATGAAGAAAGTTTACTTATTATAAGATAGAAGTGACACATAATTAACACAAAGAATATAAGTTTTTGAAAAAGTAAGATATATAATAACACTCTTATTCATGAAAGACATAATATAATTTAAAGAAGAATGACTATATTTTAATTAAAGAGAAAGTAAATTATATGATTTATTATATCAGAAAATTTTTTGGAATGGTATTCATTAAGAATCATTATCATATTTGTAAAAATTAATAAATATCTCTCTAAAATATTAATATTAATCAACAATTCTAATAATCTTTGATAAATATTCATATTGATAATTATTAATTATTATTAATATATTATTTATTAATATATAATAATATA